TTTGTTAACCAGAGTTAATTTTAAAAAAGTTGATATAATTAGTTGTTAGTGCAATTTTGAGGTTATATTAAATTATATTAAAATAAAATAATTAAAGTTGATTTGATGTAACGTATGAGAGAGATGATGTGAAATGATGGTTAGTTAAAATTTTGTGAGTGGATGAATCGTGAATTAAAACTAATGTGATGTATAAAATGATTTTGGTACTATTTAATTATATTAATAATATTAAAGATAATGGAGTTGAGGTAGATTTTGAGTATGAATTGATAAATTTATAACAAACACACCCTTAGCGAGATACACTTTCCATCCTTGAATGATTATGTCCTCTCTTACCATACGACATTTAGTTCCTTAGGCCGTCCGAACGACCTTGCAACCTACCTAGCAGAGAAGATGCACAGAGAAGCCCCAGAGGGAGAGCTAAAGTTAATATAGCGGAGCTAAGGGATCGAGTGAGTGGCGGAATTTTCTGCAAATTGTTTATCTCCGACGACTTGAGTGAAGTTTGTCGCACCTCGCAACTTACTTGCGAGGGGAGACACCTGCCAGAGGAGATACACGGAGAAGCCCCAGAGGGAGTGTTAGAGGTAATATAGCGGAGCTAAGAGATCGGTGAGTGGTGGAATTTTTTTAGAATAATTTATCTCCGACAACTTGAGTGAAGTTTGTCTCCGCCGAGATGGTGGCGGAGAGAATGATGTCTAAGAGTTGCAGAGAATAGTCATGCCATTGGTTTTATTTGTTGTTTGGACTCATAACATCATCATGCACGTGGAAAACTCGGGTCGAGACCCGATAATCCTTTTTCTCCTGCACTGGTACAATTGGCCGCCACCAGATGAGACTCTTCACTGGTCGGGGCTACCAGACCGTGGCATCTGATCTCTGAGGCTTCGTTGACACCTCTGACGCACCAATGATCTCCGATGCAACATGATTCACTAACTTTCCCCAACACCGGTACACGTGGCCGCCACCAGATGAGATTCTTTGTCGGTCGGAGCTATCGGGCTGTGGGACCGAATCTCTAGGGCTTCACTCTAATGCACCAATCTCCAGGATTCACCTCACTATGTGGCCAACAACTTTATAGAGAATTTTTATTAAAAACCACTGATCATTTTCATGATGAATTTATTTATTTATTTTCTTAAAACAAGTCAAAAGTGTTTTTTCCAATATGTTGTATTTATTTATTTTTTTATTATTAAAACAAGTCAAAGTGTTTTTTTCCGGGAGGTATTTTCGATGTAACTGAAGTATGAATGGCGGCTTGCAAAGTTTAAATGAAATGGAATGCAAAATTAGAACTCTAGAATAATTTGAGAGGGGAAAAAAATTAACTCTCCCTCATGTGCACTTGTTTTGTAAAATGAAGTTGCGGTGTCCAGATTTGAATACCACTTCTTAAAAGAAGTTTGATCCAATTTCAAGTACCATGATCGTGTGAAAAGCACCATCATCTCACATAGCTAAAATTTTATACAAACATATCTTACGCAGCTGCTGATTGTTCAGATCAATATTCCAAAACTACAGATACATAGTACGCATTTCGTTACACTAATTAGTCGGATTGAAGATATTTACATGGCTTAGATGGGAAAATTTGGCACGGTCATCAAGATTAATACGTCGACAGGATCCAGAGTACAACAAGAACAGCAGCTACTCTGCCAAGTGTTATAATATTATTACTCAACCACGGTGGATCTCTTCGGCTGGTCAGAAGCTGCACATTTAAGCCATAAAAATACATTAACACATATCAAATACATGAAATCCTACACACTTGAGTTGCATGCTATCATAAGTTGTTTTATCATTCAGCTCTCACAAAATGATGATGTATGGTGACGATAGCAGTAGTAGAGTGGTGTATTTGTGCAAAATACACGCATAATCCGAGCACAGAAGTACATGCTCACAGGTGGTCATGAACTCTGAATTCAGTAATCTTGGATTTGCAGGTTGTGAGCATTACCAAGAATTTCAGTTTTTTTTTTTTTCTTTTTCTTTTTTTCCAAATATAAAAAGCAGTTTACGATATTTTTTGTAAACAATAACTGACGAATCAAATCTAAAGTCTTCGCAAACACAGTTTTTCAGAGAAAAACGAAAGGAGCAGAAAGCCAGAAATATGAATAATATGTATAATTTGGTAGTGAAGATTATTTTGGATTGGATCATGAAAACATGAGATGAAAGAATGCCACAACAAAATGCCAAATCCCTTCAGAAACTAGAATTCTAGCGTCTAGTGTTTGATTATATGAAGCAAAAGCTGATTTTTTTGAGCAACTAAAAACAATTATTTTCAACTAAAAACGACTGACTACCAACATGAACACATGGAAATTATCAAATCATAACAAATTCCAGTGTAGACTATGCTTTTTTCTTTTACCTCTATTCTGAGGAAAAACGACAATCAATCATTCCCCTCCTTGATGACGCGCACGAATTTATCCATCCATTGCTGCTTAACAGCATCAGGAACCATTTTCCCATTGATAAACGGGTTCCATTTATCCCCCTGTGGACTGGCCAGAACCCATCTGACCTCCATTGGTGGGTCATCCATAACAGACGATTCTTGTGTATTCTGCTCAGGATCACCAACTTCTTTCTCCAAGTTCTTGAAAAAGGGATGAACAAAACATAAGAGAGCCTTATTAATTTACCTTTTTTTTTTCTCGAGCTAGATTATCAATTTTGAGCTGACCTTAGAATGATTTTCCAGCTCAAGAACCTTTGGTGCATTGGGTTCATTCTCCTTTATTTCATCCACACCCTTGAGCAAATGTGTACCTTGTTGAGATTCAGCCAAGTGCCTCTTGACTGCAACCATGGATCGGAACTGTCGTCCAGTCCCAGGTTCATAGTAATACTGTGGAACATAGTGTATTATGCATTCAATTCTGTTGTTCAATTCACTAACTATAAAGAGAACTTATTCAAGGGGATTAGTACAAATGCGTGCAAACAAAAGATCATCAAACTAAGCCAAGCCGATTAAGAGAATACAGACCAGTGGTACAATAATCCTATAAAACACAAATGTAATTCGCCAATTATATCTTGAGTGCAGTCGATGACATTGAATAATAGGAAGATATGTTATTTGAATTACCTTGTCGGTCGAGCTGCTGTATCTTCGAGGCACTTCCTCCACAATCCAACCATCAGGAAGAACAAAGGATGACATGTCATCTGACTTTCCATAAGGCACCATGGCCAAACGGTTTGGCCTCACCTCATCATCTTCATCCACTCTAAACAACTTTTTGTATTATTTTCATCCAACAAAAGGGAAAGAAAAAAAAGTAAGTGTAGTGGATAATAATAAATTATCAATAGAGCGGGGACAGCTTCAAATTTCATAAGCATTTTCTTTAATGTGTTTTATAGTGTTAGGTCTTCGTGCCATTATAGAATGAGTTAACCCAGGCAACATTCAAATATGTAAATTTGAACTACTTGAAATGTAATTGTGAAAGATAATATTTCTTCAACTTAGATAATTAAAGAACTTTTACCTTCCCACCAGAAACAAGCATCCTTTGGCGTTTTGCGCTCTGCAGAGAGAGAGAGAGAGAGAGAGAGAGAGAGAGAGAGAGAGAGAGAGAGAGCATAAAAAAATACGAAATGCAGAAAAGCTAAGAGAACCCAAATTACAAGAAGAAAATTAAGATTTTACGAGAAAAATGGAGATGGAAACCAACATTAAAATGGGTTGATCTCCTGGTAGATCGTGTTCTGGAATATCCTTGTCCATTCAGATAGTTGTTAACCTCTGTTATTGACCTGAATTTTCTTCCAGTCTCCGGCTCATAGTAATACTGTACAAACAGAACCCCACCTTAATTTCATTGCCATAAAGAAAGAACAAATGAATTGTAAAAAGAACTAACTATTAAAAAAAAGAACTATTAAAAAAAGAACTTATAGTGTAAATTTGCATTCAATTCTGTTGTTCAATTCACTAACTATTAAAAAAAGAACTTATTCAAGGGATCAGTACAAAAGCGTGCAAACAAATGATCATCAAACTATGCCAAGCCGAGTGCAGTCGATGACATTGAATTGTATATTTTGAAATAATAATAATAAGAAGAAGATATGTTATTTGAATTACCTTGTCGGTCGAGCTGCTGTATCTTCGAGGCACTTCCTCCACAATCCAACCATCAGGAAGAACGAAGGATGACATGTCATTTGACTTTCCATAAGGCACTATGGCCAAACGGTTCGGCCTCACCTCATCATCATCATCATCATCATCCACTCTAAACAACTTTTTGTATTTTTTTCATCCAACAAAAGGGAAAGGAAAAAAAAGTAAGAAGTGTAGTGGGTGAAATTAAATTATCAACAGAGCGGGGAAAGTTTCGAATTTCATCAGCATTCTCTTTAATGTGTTTTATAGTGTTAGGTCTTCGTGCCATTATAGAATGAGATAACCCAGGCAACATTCAAATATGTTAATTTGAACTACTTCAAATGCAATCGTGACAGATAATATTTCTTCAACTTAAATAATTAAAGAACTTTTACCTTCCCACCAGAAACAAGCATCCTTTGGTGTCTTGCGCTCTGCAGAGAGAGAGAGAGAGAGAGAGAGAGAGAGAGAGAGAGAGCGAGAGAGAGAGAGAGAACAGAGCATAAAAAAATACGAAGTGCAGAAAAGCTAAGAGAACCAAAATTACAAGAAGAAAAATAAGTTTTCACAAGAAAAAATGGAGATGGAAGCCAACATTAAAATGGGTTGATCTCCTGGTAGATCGTCTTCTGGGATATCCTTGTCCATTCAGATAGTTGAGAACCTCTGTTATTGACCGGAATTTTCTTCCAGTCCCCGGCTCATAGTAATACTGCACAAACAGAACCCCCACCTTAATTTCATTACCATAAAGAAAGAACAAAAACAAACAAACAAATAAATAAATAAATAAATAAAGAGATGGACCGTGTCAATTTGGGATCCATTACGACGGGGCACTTGTTCGACTCCCCAGCCAGATGGGACTTGCAAGCGGTCGGAGGCGGAGATGGGAGGCGCCACCGCTTGGCGGCGGCGGGAGTAGGTTATGAGCATTGAGTTTGAGGAGGATTGGGAAGGACAGAGGGTGGTGTGGGTTTCGACTGTGAGGTCGATCCATTTTTAGTGTACAATTGTGGAGTGATGTGTCAGGGGTGTGGTGTCGTGTCTGTTTTTTAGTGTGGGACAGTTGGACTTGGGTCAATGCGTCTGCACATGGATTTTTACTATTTTATTTTTGTTTTTTATTTTTTTTAACAATAAATGACTATATTTCGCTATTTACAGTCCCCTATTACTAGTTACCGTTATTTTTTAGAAAATATCCTCGACCTAAATCTCTCTACTCTCTCTCTCTGCTCTTTCTATCTCTCGGCATTCCCAATGTATAAAATACAAATTCCAATAGTTTTAGCTACAATAACCTTCCCGACCACAATTTTTTATTTTTTAGGTCCCGGCCGGACACAATTTTACTTTTTTATTTTATTTTATAATATAGTAATAAATAAATAATGAAAATAATTATATTAATAAATATTATAATAAAAAATTTAAAAAATATAAATATTGTTAAATAAAAAATTAAATAATTATGTTAATTAATATAATTATATTATAATTATATTAATTAATTTATATTAGTAATAAATAGAAATAAAATAAATAATTTATTTGATTAAAAATTAATAAATTATCATAATAATAATAATAATAAATTACTAAATATTATAAAAACAATATTACTATAATAATAATAATTATAATCTAAAAGAAAAAATATTATATTAATAAAGAAAAAATTATAAAAAGTAATTAATAATAAAATATTAATTATAATAATTATAAAAAATTAGTGAATATTACAAAATTAGTTAATTACTATTATAATAGTTATTACAATATTTATTAAATTTGAAATTGATTAATAATTATTAATATTAACTTAAGATGTTATTATAATTAAATTAATTAATTCTTATCATTAATTTAAAATTTGACTTGAAAAAATTATTTTAAAAAAAATTTTACAAAATTAAAAAAAAAAATATATTTACTAATTATTATTTTAAATTGGTGATTTAGGGTAATAGTAGAGCTGGACAATATGCAAAGGGCGACGATGAGGTCGATGAGTATATTGACGGTTCTCGAGCCCGACACACAAAAAGTCGGAATATAAACGCGTCTGTTCTTCGGGAACGACAGATGATGATCGAAGAG